GAGTCAGCAATAACCTTCACTCACTGAACACGAGCGACGCAATAGGCATCTGCCAGCGCCTTGAAACTCGGAGTGAAGATTTGATTTGAAACTCACATCAGAGGAATATGATTGATATGACTAATATGACTGATATGACCAATATGAATGACATGACTAATATGATTCATATGACCAATATGACTGATATGACCAATTATCTCTTCCGTCATAACAGAAGAAAAATTTAAACAAAAAAAAATAAAAAAACAAAACTAAAATAAAAAATAAAAAAAAAATAAAAAATAAAATGTAAAATAAAAAATAAAACTAAATTGTGTTAGTTGAGCGCAATTTTCAGCTTTCAGCATTGAATTCCGGTAAACAATTCTCATCGGATCACATAGGAAAATTGAGTGATCAAGCAATCAATAAAGCTTATCAAAACATAATAGCGGGAACAAATGAAATTTATATCTTACTAAGTTAGTTCTTTTGATGATATGAAATTTAATTAATACATTACTCCGATGTCCGCTCATTTAAATAAAATTAGTGTTCTCATCATCTTAGCAGTCGACGACGAGCTTTCAAGTTCGAAAAAATTCCCTTCTCTAAATTTAAATCGTCCCTGAAAAATAATATTCATACATTAGTTGTATCATTTGGTACGGCTAATGTCATCGTTAAAAAAGAACTGTTTTTCCAGTCATCGGGGCTGGAATTTTCTTCATTGTGTAGGAAAGAATCAAGACCCTAACGCCTACCAAGAAGCGCTCTCAGCAGGTCTTTGTGCGGTCGTCTTATCAACAGTGAAAACAAAGGAGTGTCGCTGCCACAGCAACACCGGCCTGCCTTCTGCGCCGAGTTTATTTTCCCTTGACAAAAATCAGGGACATCGCACCGGCAGGTTATTGAAAATAGGCGCGGGACCGGGACTCATGCCATGTAGGGGCCTCATACTATGTAGAGGCCTCATGCTACGTAGGGGCCTCATGCTATGTAGGGCCTCATGCTATATAGGGACCTAATGCCATGTAGGTGCCAAGGTGCCTGCATGGAACGCGCTCCATCGCCCGTGAACAACAAGCTGACTCATTACCTAATTTACGATGCACTATTACCGTCAATCAATTACATTACACGATTGAGTGTACACATTTAGCAGAGCAATACTGATGCAATATCTTTACTAATTCTTTACAACGAGTTTCGGTCTAAATCGTTAGCCTCGTGGCCAGTGTCAATTGGTGCACGTAATAAATATCGCTTACCATTATCTACTTCACTTAAATCTTATTTATTCTTTTTATTATTCAAAATAATTAATCGTACTCTGCCGGAGTCCACGGCCTGTCGGTAGCACAGGCGAGCAAAAAGCCGATTTCTCTCCCCAAAGAGGAAAAGATGAAAGATATTAGCAAGATAGGACATGAAAGAGAAACTGGATACAGAAACAACGATAAAAAGATGAGAAAATTGAGCAGGGGGAAAGAGGATGAGGAGAAGAAAGTAGATTAAGAGTTGGGAGTGAAAGTAAAAAATAAGGTAATAAATGCGAATGGAAATTCAACCACGAGGAGGAATTACGAACTTGCTAAGGAAACGTGGCAAAAAATTGACTAGATTTCTTGAACATGGAAATTCTCAACGCTGATGCTTCAGCTGAAGCACAAAAAATGTTGAGGCACACCCTGCCATAACTCGAAATGGGGAAGTAATTTCACTACAATACATAGTCAATTTACCTAAAAAGAGCATTCTTTTCTCTAAATTTTGAGCTGTACAATATTCTTCACAAGCGCAGTCCTCGGTAATTAGCGTCGCTTGTTAGTGGGGCGGAAGAAGTGAAGGAGCTTTTAGTCATGGCCGCGTCTCGTCTCATTTTGGGGAGCAGTTACAGCTGCTCCTAATTAACTTAGTGTAGTCATAACGTGACTACACTAAGTTAATATTTAACTTAGTGTAGCATTCATGGTCAACGGGAGTATAATACTGTCTTTTTTCGTGCCAAGCCTTTGTAAGTTTAGCCCAAGCATATGTTAACAAAGCATTACACCTGCTTTCAGGTATAACTTAATTGTATAGTCGATATACAGTAAATATTGCCATTTGAAAGGGGTTGCTTGGAGAAAGTAATAAACATCAATGGTACCGACATCAAAACTAATAACAGTCGCTTAATGGGCTCGCCAGCTTGGTTTGATCTCACTATCACTAATAATTTTTTACATCCACTGCCACCGATATGGAGCATTTCAGTGCAAGCAATCATTTTGTTTATCCACTCCAAAGGTGGCAATGGTCCAAACTTCAGGGATGTCGATAGGTGGCATTAGACAAAATATTCAGGCAGAGCATGAATGATTTTTTTCTTCGATAATAAAGAAGGCTGTCAAATTTGGCGCAAAATACTGATCCAAAATCCATACAGCGGAATTCCTTGAATCAATTCGGTTCGGTGGCTTGAGTTCTATAGCTTGAGTTCGATGGCTTGAATTCGATGGCTTAATTTTGATGGCTTGAGTTTGATGACTTGAGTTCGATGGCTTGAGTTCGATGACTTGAGTTCGATGGCTTGAGTTCGATGGCTTGCGTTCGATGGCTTGCGTTCGATGGCTTGAGTTCGATGGCTTGAGTTCTATGGCTTGAGTTTGATGGCTTGCGTTTGATGGCTTGCGTTCGATGGTGTGAGATTGTTATCTCAAGGTTCAATAAACAAAAGATCTCTACAAGTCTAATTATCCTAACTATTAAGGAGATAGGAGCATAAGAGTTTTCTGAGAGCAATAATGAGAGTAGCGACGTAATGAGAGGAGTCGCGAGAGGAGAAGGACTCCGCTGTGCCCTAGAGGACGGACAACAATATTTACAATTAACACCAATGAATAAATAATCTGACTATATTAGCACGATATAACCTTCACTAATAACAAATATAGAAAACAATAGTTAACCTCGTCAAACTCATACCTTAGTCGTGCTCTGCAGCCTAAATACAGGGTGACACAAAAAAAACAGAGCTCATAAAAAGTTGAATAATTAACATATCTTTGAGCGGCTGTAGAACAAAGAGTTTTTGTGGTATAGAATTGAGATTTTGCAGATGTTGGCTACATAGGTTGTACATAATTCCATAGAATTTTTGTTTCAAACTGAATAAAATTTCAGGAGTTATAAGACTTTTAGTGAGCTCTGTTTTTTTTGTGTCACCCTGTAGCTCAGACCACCTCGCAGGGACATACAGGACGAAGTGCTTCTAATTCTATGACTAGGCTCAAAGAAAGGTTGCATGCCTGTCAGTAGTACGGAATGGGCTTACAATACTACAGATGGCTTGAGTTCGATGGCTTGAGTTCGATGGTTTGAGTTCGATGGCTTGAATTTGAGGGCTTGATTTTGATGGCTTGAGTTTGATGACTTGCGTTCGATGGCTTGAGTTCGATGGCTTGAATTCGATGGCTTGAGTTGCGGAAATTTTCAAATTAAATATAAAATCACGATTTTAAAAATGTGTAATTTCCAAAAATAGGAATGGACGGTATAATTTATTCAAAAATTCGATTCTCCGAATGACAATCAAGATACGCTTGTGATTAAGCCCAGGCATTGTGAATTATTTAAAATCAGTTAGGTGCAATGAAGCCCGTTAAAAACTTGTATCAAAGATCATTAGTCATGGTTTGCCTTTCCTGATAGATCACCATTATTTGAAAAATTGAAGTGGAATTTAAAGTGATATCTGGGCAAACTTGGCGTTTCCGCGGGATTTACGGCCAACCAAATTGCTCTCAAGTAAAATGAAGAAGGCATTAAGGGTAAAATGGGCGATATTTCACGGGGCTAAAAGCTTTTAGCGCTGTGCGCGAGACCCTCATTTTGTTAGGTGGACAGCGGCCATCAAATGAGCGGCTTTCTGATTTGGGAAGCTCGGCGTCTTGGGGATATTGCGTTCATTCCGAACTCCAATAATTTGTGACCCATTAGCACAAAAGCTTCCAAAAATACTGAGCAGATAAGTTTACTCATGAACTAGACTGAGTTCAGGCATGATTGATAAGTAACGCTTTCGAGGCACTTAGGACAGAGAAGGTTCATAAGTGGGCAAGGTTTCACGGTGTGTTTAAGATGGTAATGGCAAGATAACGGACTCCATTCGTCAATAAAATCGATGAAGCGACTCCTAATACACTCCTTACTCTAATGCACAAATGGCCGAGCGATGAAAAGTGATAATCAGTTGCAATTGGGCAGATCAGAATTCACTACACTTCACTGTCCGGTACAATGTAAGATGAATAGTTGAAAGGCGTAAGAGTGCAATACTGATAAGAAACCGATAATGCACAGTATAATGTAGGCAAATATTATCATCGTCGTTCGATGCGACTGTCACTGCACTCGACAAGGTTAGGATCGCTCTAGACTTAGAAGAAAAACAGCAAACTAATATCCGGCATCAATTAAGTAATGATGACTTAGCTGATTACATATTGCCTAGAACGCGAACAAAACTCTACGTTGCTGCATTATATTATGTCACTATATGTACGATATTATCATGGTTTCTATCAAATTCTTTCCATAAAATTTTTCACATCCTAACAGTGCTATATGGTCGCATCTATGGGCAGAATTAATTAGATTTGTTACTTACTCAAAACAAGCACAATTCTTTTTCAATTCTCACGAATATACGTGAATAATACAGTCATTAGATCATGATGAGTAATGCAATCATTAACTCGGGTCCGCACATGATATTGTTCACATGAATAAGCAAGCGTTCATTAAAATTCCTCACAAATACATCTAAAGTCTATTCATTCATTGAATGTGAGAGTGAGGAACGGATAAAATTCCAATTTAACTGACATTACAATACTGCGAAAAATTCAAGGTGATTTCTCTGTCAGAATTTTTTCTCTGCCTGAGTGACAAGACAGTCACAAAATTTTTCACAGTCGAAAAATTTTCCAGCTAAATAAAAATGTAAAAAAACAATCAATGGAGTTAATTTTTATTTGCGAGTGTTACAGGTTAATGACATGAGATAAGATAGTTAAATCTGTCATTATTTGTGCTTTTCACATGTGTTGAATAGTGAATGCCTAAGAGAACACGTCAACACTAACACTACATGCAATCAGTTCTTTGATGTTGATTTTTGTTGCAACAAGACAGGGATTTTCTCTCCTAATAATTGTGTCTCACTGGCCCAGCTTCGTCTGTTCCAAAATTGAGGGTCAAAGTCATGATCTGCTATAGAATCAAAAAAGCCCAAGGCTGAGTGACGGTTACTCAAGTTACTATGCTACGAGATGAGAATTGTATTGACGATGGTTAATGCCTCCATACTTAGAGAATTAAGTCAGACTGCAATTGTTGGAGCTGTTGGCCTGAAGTTTCTTTTCGCTCAAGGCGGTTGTGTTCACCGACACATAGTAAGTAATGTTCACCACACGCTCCTGACGCAGATCATTACGACACTCGCTGTACCATGAGAAACCTCTCCTTATTTCGGTAGCGTTTGCTGCTATTTGTTGTTGGTAAGTTCGGATACCTTCGGCGGAGCATTCTTTGGAGGCGTACCAAAACCGTACGCAGTTACTTGTGTAGTTCAAATAGAATTCCCGTCCGTCAAATGGTGCCTGCCAGTAGTTACCTGCACTTCCGCCTATGTAGTTCCCAACTGTCAAGCTATTAGTGTCGGTCAAGTTAATTCCATCGAAATATGACACAAGTTCCACGTCATTTTCATAAAAAACTTTGATTTTGAGCCAGAGGAATTTGTCAGGGGCCAACTCCATGTCATTTGCGGTAAACATATCGGGATTATTTTCCTGCTTATTGACGCCTTGCCAGATTCCGTCACACGCGACCGAACGCAACACTTTGTTCGGCCACAGTTGCACGCTTGTCAGATTCGTTGTTGGAATCGGCAGCTCCCAACACTGCTTCGCACACACCTGCAAAATACGGTGCTCTTCAGTCGTCGAAGCTAGCGTACTTGATTCTTATGACTCACATTGCAGCTATTGTGACTCACATTGCAGCTATATATGGCTCACATTGCAGCAGATCATTTTTATCGAATTTGTGAAAATATATCAAGATTTTTTTTTGTGTGTATGTATGTGTTCTGTGAAATCAATATTCTAATCATTTCTTACGGACGGTCGCATTTCCTGATAAAATCTTCTGAATTCCGAAGAATAAACATAATTAAGATGTCCTCGATTGTACACCATGAAGGCTTTCATACTCACGCGGCTATTTGATCGATTAGCTGTAATGGACTGGCCACAACATGCGTCATTTCCAAGCCCTGCTAATTCTTTGAACTCGGGTTTCTTCGAGAGTCGCTTACTCTACTCAACATTTCATCCAGGGAATTCTCGAGTATCAAGACGATACTCGTTATGACGATTTATTCTTTCCCAAAGCCTAGTTTTATCCAGATTCCATGAAACAAAATGTTCCATGAAACCTCGACAAGCGCACTATTTTGGATGCGAATATTTGCGGGAGAAATGTTCCTCAATTTTCAGTTGGGTAAATGTGACAAATCACGTAATATTGTTCATCCAATCTTCTGTCTTATTCCAGCATAAATACGAGCAAATAAAATGACCATATACTTTGTCTAGTGAAGAACTACTAAGCAAGATAGAAGGGGTAATAAAGCAAGATAGAAAGGATTTTTGGCATGAAAGAAGCATTCGTATTGTCCTCACCTCGCACTTCATGCCACAACAGTTGGGGCGGCCACACGACGCCACGACCTCACCTCACACTTCATGCCACAACAGTTGGGGCGACAACACGACGCCACGGCCTCACCTCACACTTCATGCCACAACAGTTGGGGCGGCCACACGACGCCACGGCCTCACCTCGCACTTCATGCCACAACAGTTGGGGCGGCCACACGACGCCACGACCTCACCTCACACTTCATGCCACAACAGTTGGGGCGGCCACACGACGCCATGGCCTCACCTCACACTTCATGCCACAACAGTTGGGGCGGCCACACGACGTGCACGGCAGCTGCACGGAGTTGTTGGAGCAGTCGGAGCTGGATTTTGGAGGAGCGCCTGAGGCCAGGCAGGAGGCGTGAGGCAGCGCCTCGCCAGGAGGCTTGGAGCAGTAGGAGGCGTTGGCGTGGAGGGCGAGGAGGCAGCGCTGCTGGCACGTCAGCGGCAGCAGTTTGTCGTCCTTAGGGCGTAGATCGTATGATCTCACATCTGCAAGGTAAAATTCAATACTTTCAAATTTAATATTAATTAATACTACTAAGATGGTACAAATTTTCAGCATGTTCCAATATTTTGCATTAATTTCTTATTATATTCCAATAATTACGAGTGAAAACACCTCATGGAGATGCATTTTTTAGTATCGTAAATGAACAAGGCATCAGATTGCCCAATGATAAGGAAAAAATAGAGTGCCGATTCAGAAAGGTGAGAATGACCAGTCGGGTCCATTTTGAATTGATCCGTTTTCAAGTCAGGTGTAACTATTATTGCTAATACTAGTCAAAATAGAATGATAGTAGAATGAAAATCGATGAGAAGCTTCTGCCTCTACACTTGTCACAGTATATTAAAGATATAAAGAGACCTTCAATGTAGAGCATAACTTGCCTGCATTGTACACCAAAGTGTAGCTTTCGGTAGAACATATGTCGAAGGCCTGAAGGCAGCACAGAAGGTTCTCTCCGTCGACTTTCTGAACGAAGCCTTTGCAGCCTGGCGTCGTGATGCAGAAGTAAAGACACAACACAAACGAATCGTTCTTAACCTTGCCTGAAAAATGTAGTTAAGTCTCTGAGCGAACGTTGATGGACAATTGGGTTATTCTCATTCCACGAACAAACAGTTATCAGAGCGTGAAGTTAGGAAAGCTCTAGAATATTTGTCAGCATTAATTATGAATAACTTAAAAACAGACGTTATATGATTGATTACATATAATTATATTATTATACAGGCGTATTTAAATTATTGACGGGCATATTTTATGTAATATGACAGAAGTCAGTTGAATTAACGAAAGCATTAAAGTTAAATTATTTGTAAATGTTTTAAAATATTGAACAACTGCCAAGTATTTCTGAATTATTAATAGAATCTTATAATGAAACTCTCGAGAGTTCAAAACAAGACCCAAAATCGAAATGCTGGCTCATCGAACAGAAGTTCTCACCAAGATCTTTGATCTGCAGCAACCGAGGCGCAGAATCGTATTGTGTAATGGCGAAATTAGTGTACATATCGTTGGTGGCACCGTAATATTGCTGCTCTACCACCACAGCCCAGCACAGTGATGTCAACACCACCAATATAATCAGAATACTCCGCGCGCCCACACAGCGCCGCACTGCTCTCCAATATGTCAAGTGTGTGTTGCTTGCCATCGCGGATCCTGTGGAATTTCGTGAGAATATTTCGGGTACAAATCATAAATGTCAGGACAAAGTGATTTGCAAAGAAATTGCTGTTGTTAATAAAGCAATGATTCAGCGAGTGTTGTTTATGTTTATAAACGCTGCCTCGATGCAGGGAGCTCAATGCCCATACGTATGAAGCTGCCGAGGACTTAGTTTGAATCTTGAAATGCGTTATAGGAAATTCAATTGAATTGAAGACTTCGGAAATTAACGAAGCCATTTGAATTTTTGAATTGAAATCCCGAATGCAAAAACTTGCGAGCTGTCTTACTTTTTAAAGGCTTCACATTTAATAAAAAAATTTTATTCTGGTGGAGAAAAAAGTAGAAACTTGAAATAAATTACAATCTCTCAGAAGTGAGTGTAACAGATCAACTATAATTACAACTGGAATCTTACAGAAAAAGTTTACAGAGTAGGCTAATCTTATTGATTATAACAGATGAACAGAAATCCCTATTTACGCTAAAAAAATGGTTCATTCGCTTTCAAAATAAAAAATTCTGTTCTTTATAATGAATGAAGCCCGTCTCACATTACAGTTTAGGAAGAGACAAGACGCGTCGCAGTCTCACAGCTCAGTGGGCGGCGGCTGGTAGCGCCCTCGCCTTATAGCGGCCCCAGAGCTCTGCCACTCACGCCACGCCATCGACTTCTGAACCTTGATTAAAGAACTTAAGCGAAGCATCACTAGCAATTATCTAGAGTGGCAGAGGCCTTTCTTCAAATTCGAGAGTATTAATCATGAGAAGTGTGTTCAAGAAAGTGCACTTTAGAGCACACGTTGATTTACGTTTGACATGTGCTATAGTGGTGAATGAAATGTGTCAAGAAGATGACAGTGTAGATAACGGGAAAATTCATCCTAGTTGATAGTTTTTATGTATGAAGTGTTTCAACTATGCATGCATATACTCGTGATTTCTGCAAAAAATGACGCATGGGAGATGTGAGAAATTTTATAAGACATCACTAACTTTAGACTGAGGAAATACGGCAAGGCTTCTAAGAATGCTCCAGCTATGTTATTGTCTGAATATAAACTCTTGTGAATATACAGGAATCCACATTAATTTCCGTTCATATTGCAATCAGATAATTGTTGTGAACACGAACACCGTTAACTGACCAATAACTTTCGTCACAGGCTGTATTCGACTATTGACCAAAGCTTCGGTCAAGTTTGATCGATAACTTCTGTAAAATATGACAAATAACGCCGGTCAGAACGAAAAAATGGCTTCGTCAGGGCCTTGCTGGTAGGAAACATTGACGTATGTTTTAAATTACTTGCAAATAGATTCAGAATTGCCAACGTTATACGAAATAAAATTTATGTCAGTTAAATAGGAGGTGCCTGTAATATTAGACGCTTACTCCATGTAAATGCTCAGATGAGTCGTTTGACTGTTATGATGGAACCCAAAATCGCCTAAAGGAAAATAACGACACGTAAAACGCTTCCAATTATATTATTGATTATCAAACGTCGGAACACATAGTTCTATGGATGGACGTGCATCGCGTTGTCTATGGTTAGCATAAACGGTGTCGCCCTGCCGGTAAATAGAAAATTGCTACTGCAGTGTTCAGTATTGACTGTTGTTGTCAGTTGGTGCTTGTTGATGTACATCAAGCACTCATTGGTCCTGTAGGGATCAGTGTTGACAGTTATTGATGTCAGTTGGTGGTTGCTGATGTACATCAAGCACTCAAGTGGCAAGTTGGTCTTAGCTTTGCTCGTCGGCTCTCGTCTCCTACTAAGCTGTGCGATCAAGAAAGAGACCGATGACTTCCGCGTTCACATTAACATACAATTAAATAGTGTACTCTTTTGTCTGTAAGGCGCTACTACTTGCGGGATTCTAATCTATTCTTTTTCACTATATAAATGAAAGTGTGTGACGAAAACACATTAAAATACTCGACATTGTATATGTACTGTGACTTGAAAAACTGTGCAAACATTTCAAAATTGTACTCGGACTTGAGAAGCAAACTAATTCTGCGAATCAAATTCTCTTTTCCAGTGATTGATCACACGTGAGAGCCTCGATCATCAGTTTATCGAAATGCTAACTAGTCCATCATTCTTGACAAAAACATCAGTGCACTGGCAGAATGAACATTGCATTTTCGTGAAAAAAATATGATCTATTCATTATTCATCATTCAATCGCTCCCATTTTTGTGCAGACAAATTGATTCCACCTAAAGCGAATAAAAACTTGACATGAATAAATACTGAGCTGGAGCTTCCCTTCAAGTATTCTATCATATTTTTCTATTATTTCCCGGAGAAGCGAGTGGAAAAATCTATCAAAGATAGATAGTTAGCATTGACGAACTTTGAAATTTGCAATGTAAATGAGTAAACGCGATGATGCAGAGCCACTACAAACTTAGGTCAAACTGCACAGGTCGGTAATGTTGGTCTCGAGCTTCTTAGCGTCGAGCGCCGTCAAGTTTGTCGACACAAAGAAGAGGAAGTTTGTCACACGCACGCCTTGCAGGTCAGGACGACACTCGCTAAGCCAAGGCAAGCCTCGATCAATATAACGTACGGCGCCTTGCGCAGCGATTTGTTCTTCGTAAGAGGGCACACCTGGAGCATTGCATTCGTTGGACGTGTGGTAGAACTCATCACAGTTACTCTTATAGATACTGAAGAACGCGCGTCCTGTGAAAGGCGCTTCCCAGTAGTTGCCAGCACTGCCGCCCAGGTAGTTTCCAACCATCAAGCTGTTCGCATTGTTGAAGTTGATTTGATCAAAATACGATACTAGCCTTTCAGAATTTGCGTAAATTACCAGGATTTTGAGCCAGAACGACGTTCCTGGGCTAAAACCCAAGTCTCCAGAGATGAATATGTCAGCATAATTGGCGAATTTATTGATTCCCATCCAGTAACCCTCGCACTGCATCGTACGCATCACTTGGTTTGGCCACAACACAACACTTGTAAGGCTCGACGTCCGATACGGCAACTCCCAGCAGTGTCTGGGACACACCTGTGAAAAAATATACTTGAATATTTCGAATTAAGATTTTAAGCCTATTGCAGAGCAAGCCTTTATAAAAATGTAATCGTTACATTGAGGGAATCTTAAATTAGTTGCAACCAAATCATAGGGTTCTTCTTTTTAGGAATGGAAACACATGATATGCGTTGTTTTTATTCTACTGCATTTTCAATGATCAATATATGAAGAAAATGAAAGGTGCCGACCATCTTAACAGAAATGAAATAATGAGGTATGCGCTACAGAACCTTGATGGTTGCGTGTGAATGAGAGCCAAGCTACCATGTGCAATTGTGAATGGCATTCGTGCCAATTATCTCGCACTACACCACACTACCTTCCACAGCAGCTCATTCGTCCTTTCCACGTACACCACACTACCTTCCACAGCAGCTCATTCGTCCTTGCCCCGTACCTCACACTACCTTCTACAGCAGCTCATTCGTCCTTGCCCCGTACACCACACTACCTTCCACAGCAGCTCATTCGTCCTTGCCCCGTACACCACACTACCTTCCACAGCAGCCTGAGCTTATTTTTCTCACCTCACGCTGCCGACCACAACAGTTGGGGCGGCTGCAGTTCACACATGAGTATTTGTATGGACTGTTGGAGCAGTCCGTGGTGGAGTTGTAGTTTGCTGAGCAGGCGTCGCTGGAGGAGCAGTTCGCTGCGCCGCTGGTGAGGCTGGATATGCAGCGTTGCTGGCACGTCAGCGGCAGCAAAGGATCTTCGCGCCGTCGCAGGTCGTAGGACTGGACACCTGGGAACCATCATGACGAGGAAATCATAAATTCTATATTTGTCACACTTTGGGTGAGTGGGTTTGTTTGAAGCCTGGCGCCACAACTTATTAGCTGTTCTGGCTCGTTTCCAGAATACTTATTGTGTTGCAATACTACCTGGATCAGAAACTTCATTCATCGAATGAGAATAACATAGGATTGGATGAAAATGAGGAAAGAACCGCGTCAAAAATTAAAATGCTATATCGAAATTGGTATATTTACATTGAATTTAAACGACTCAATTCAATATTTCCTGTATTTTGAAACGAGTGGATAATAGGAGTCGTATCTGCAATGTAGAATGTATGTTTAACTCGTATAAAATAATAAGCATTATTGTTAGTAACGGAATTAGCTATTACGCGAATAACGGGATTTGGGATAGCTGGATTTTTTTTTCTTTTCATTGGCTTTAATTCTAATAATTATAAATTGGATACATATCTGCATTCCAAACTGATTTATGCGATGAAAATTAGTTAGTCTTTCCATGGTTAGTGAGATGCACCTGCGGTTAACACCAACGGTGTGGGACAACACAGCTGTGGTAAGGCATTTGTACCTGCGGTAAACACCAAAGGTGTTGAGCTGACACAGCTGTGGTAAGGCAGATGTACCTGCGGTAAACACCAAAGGTGCTGGGCTGATACAGCTGTGGTAAGGCAGATGTACCTGCGGTAAACACCAAAGGTGCTGGGCTGATACAGCTGCGGTAAGGCACATGTACCTGCGGTAAACACCAAAGAGGTTGGGCTGACACAGCTGCGGTAAGGCACATGTACCTGCGGTAAACAGCAAAGGTGTTGGACTGACATAGCTGTGGTAAGGCACATGTACCTGCGGTAAACACCAAAGGTGTTGGGCTTGCGCAGCGGTCATAAGCCTGGAGGTAGCAAATCACTTGTCCGTTCTGCTCCGCCTTGACGAAGCCCCGGCAGTTGGCATTTGAGATGCAGGAGCGGAAGCACAGCGCCAAGGAGTCGCGGGTGATTCGACCTCAGGGAAATTATATGATTATACGATGACATTTTTAACCTACTTAAAGCTAGATATATTTCATGATTGTCAAATTTTCGCAAATCATTGAGTGAAAATAGAAATAATGTTTGCAGGAGTGATCCTGAAGTTATTTTTTATTCCTTGAATAAATATTTAATTTTCCTTCTGGTTAAATTCATTGGCCGGATATAAGTCTGATGCTCGTAAGCCTGAGGCGTGCTGTGTTGCACGAACCGTATTTCAGCCAGTTTCATTTCATATGTTTTAATTTAGTAAGACGCATCTACTTGAATGTAAGTCTTTGCACGAGTCCGTTAGGTGTTCAAATCGGTGTGCAGTATTTCTCACGAGCACCTATAAAATAACGCTGAGTTTTTCTCTATAACTCTAAACACGGAGACCCATATTTATTTGATGAACTCATATGACGTATGAGTCTGTAAATCAAATAAAATTTGAAAGAAACCAAGAAAAACGAAACCTTGTGGCTTACTCGACGATAATTGCCAAATCTGCCTCCGGAAGAATAACTGGCAACTATCTTTAAGTTGACTACGTAGACGAGGTTGACGTTAATTGGAGCAACTTCATTGGTTAAGAGTCCTTGAGCTGTATGGTAGGCCATCATTTCCATAATTGTTAGTTTTCGACCCCATTATTTAATTTAAGTCTCCTGGGTGGAAGCAACTGAATTAACCATAACCGGGACGGATTTGTGAACCTGTCTTCACAAAGACATATTCTCAAATAATACACTAATAACCACGTGCAAAGGTATTTACTTATTGGTACCGTAATGTGAGAGAGGGAATCACGCTTTGTACATACTTTCATTTGATGCGGCGTTATACCTTCTTACGAGAAGCAAACATAAGTCGTACACATTCCTCACCAAGTGGTTTGACCAGCAGGAGCCTCGGCGACAGATCGTAGCCGCTCGAAGCGAAGTTAATGTAAGCGGAGGAAGTGGCACCGTAGTATTGCTGCTCGATCACGGCGCCGGTGCCCACTGCCAGCAGCAACAGCCACGTAATGTCGCCCAGGCTGGGGCGACGTCGATTGTAAGGATGAGACATTTTGCTGTTCGTTATCCCAAAGGCTTCGGAGTTTCTACTAAGCACACTTCCCCTTGTGATGGCGTAGAGCGAATTGGCACAGCGGGCTAACGCCCTTTCCTTGTGATGACACGGAACGGAGTGCCACGACGTGCTGTGCAGAAGCACTGCAACTGCAAATTTTCTTTAGCATGCGATGGCAGCAGCAGCCAATATAGATCAGCAGCAAGTCTGCGATGGCAAATGATGGCAATAGAAGCACCTGCCGAGACCATCCATCATCAGGTAGTTTCGGTTGGAAAATTAAGAAATGTAATTTTTATCGAAAACCGAATTGTTTGAAATTATACTCTAATCAAGTAACGCCAGTTTGTGGCCATCGAATTTAAATTATTTCACGAGAATTTCTGCGTTTAGATGTGCGCAAAACTTCTAGAAATATCTTAAGAATAAAATAGTTTTACAACATGAAAGAGAATTAAGTTTCATGGAATATTGTTCCTGATTGTAACGTAACTTACACAGTAACATCAAGTGTTATTCTCCTAAGCCATTATTTCCATGACGGAACTTGGTAATTTGGTCATGCTGAATCTGAATAGCAAATTCCGGATGTCGTCCATCATACAGATCAGAAGAACACAATAATTGGCCTCGTGGAAAAGATTCGCTTCTCGAGCTCCGCAGGTCAATCGAAGCAACAGCGTATTAAGGGCACTTTTCAGAAGCGCATTAATTTGCAGGCCACTTGTGTCGTCTGGTCAGTACTTACATGTTGATTTAGCCCTTCGTAGCCCCACATGTCGTGCATTTATTCAAATGTAGAGCAGCTTTGAATTATTTGACGTGAATATTAAACATTTCTCTAACAGAATTTTTCATTCTATCCATTCTTCCATCATATGGCAATGGTGTGAGGCAACCCAGCGAGTGGGGCCAGACGCCTTTCGCGAAAGCATTCCGCCTTGTATATGTAAGATATTTTATAAAAAACTTAACAACTTATCACTAGGATTGGAGGCCGAGAAACGAGATTTAGAAGTTCTAAATCTCATGTTCTAAGTCTCATGTAAGTATTTAGGGTAACATGGGGCAGCGAGCCCACTGCGGGTCATGGGCCCATAGCGGGTTTCTCGCTAAGTATGGCAGATAGTGGTCCGTGTTCTCTACCGCCGGTCGACAGTTTCACTGGGATGAAGTGTACGGATTTACGTTTTGCTAAGTGTTTGCGTTATTAAGTTATTTGTGAATAACTGTTTTAGTCCAGATAAAAAATTTTTTGCTGCTAAATAATTTTTTTTTTTCGATTACTGTAGATGAAGCTTTTGAAATTACTGTGAATTATATTTTTAAAGTAATATTTATAGGGATAATTTTAAGATCAAGTTTAGACTATTAGCTTTTAAAATAAAATGTTGACACGATATAAATTGAAATGATACCTAGTGGGGGCAACGGGCCCACGCGTGTCACGGGGCAAAGCGCGCATGGTGAAATCTTGTGTTATACATCATTAGATTTGTCTCAATGACCTTTTCAAACTATGACTAGCTTTTTGAATTACAATTTACACTTCATATTGCATGATTTTTTGATTTGCCGCCTCAAGGCAGGAGGGTTATTTTTTAAATATGCGTATTTATGACCCCTTATCGAGTTATTGACTCTCGCCTTGCCAAAAAATGATTTCAGCCAACACCAATGAGCCAAAAGTTGATGAGTTTTTATGTTGTTGGCTAAAATCACGATTAGGTACGAATTCTCTGCACATAATATCTAGATTATGGACGAAACTGGAACGAAGTTTTTTTCTGATCACCTAAATATATTTTTCTAGTCAAGGATACATTTTTTCATGTTTAGGACGAATTTTTTATCGCAAGGATATATTTTTCAAGTTAAGGATATATATTTTTATGTCAATGAAATAATTTTCTTCACGTCAGTGATAGATTTTTTAAGCCAAAAGTATATTTTTTCAAGTTAAGTATATGATTTTTTGAGTTGTTAATAAATGAGTGAATGTCATATTTTTTATTACATTTTCTTATTTTAACTGTAAAGTGTTGTTTTTTAATTTTTAAACGAAAAATATGCATCTGTGGTAAAGGGACCAAGGGTGGGCGCCTTGCCCCAAGCCCATGGGCCCATTGCCCCAGGGGTGAGGCAATGGGCCCATTTTGACACTTTTTACAAAATAGTGTTTCATTAAAAATCGAATAAACATATGAGCTTCTAATTCACATCATATATGCCTCATTAGTTGTGCATTTAAGCAAAACAAAGAACCACATCGTATCAATTAGAACTTCATCAAAAATTTAGTTTAAAAAAGGGGGGGCGCGCTGCCCCATGTTGCCCTACTTTTTATAGGCTTGCCTATAGTTTGGACCGAGTTTATAGCTTCATGGCCGTATGTTTTTATGGTCACGACTCTAAATGTCATTTACAATTCTACCGAATAGACGGTGATCATTCGTGTCAGTTATACAGCAATGAAAATATGTGTCAGCAAAATAGAAAAAGCCCCACCACCCGAAATTATTAGCTCGCCACCGTAGGAAACTCCATCTTTAACAAGCCAACGGAAATTATTTGTTCGTGGGTAGAACGTCCGAGCTCGGGGCAGTTTCGCCACCGCAACGTGGCTGTGATGTCCAATTTAATGAGGAGTGAGCACCCAACAGCTAGCAAGGTGCACGCTTCAAAAGATTTTGTAAGTATTTATTTTTTTAAGATTTGTATCCAACCACATTTTTCACTTCTAGTGATTACCTACGTAAGCGGGAGCCTAATTCTTGCTGCACCGTTGCACGTTGCAGAAAGTTCGTTAATACACGAAAACGTTATGTGATCAAAATAAATGGAACACCAAGTTTGGATGGGATAAGTTCCTTGTAACTGGAATTCCTGATATTTATTCGTTACTCATACATTACGCGAGTGAAAGATTTCGCTGCAGAGTAATTGCATGCACTGGCTGAAAAATAAAAAATCTCATCTGAAGTAAATTTTTATTCTGAATGGTAACAGTAAAGTGCCGAACCAAACATTTTCTCTTAAAAGAAGTTCAAAGTTCATTTCAGCAGATATTCGTCCTCACTAAAACCGAGTGCATCAAGAAGGCAAAGCTATCAAGGCAGCTATAATTCAACGGAGAGACCTGCGAACTTGAAGCAAATTAAACCTTGTCATTCAGTAATCTGTGAGATCCACATTAATGTGTGTTAATGTTCCCGTGGTTTGCCGATATTTATGAAGCGTATTCATCATACGCGGATGAATTAATTTATTACTGAAGGATGACGTGTGTACCGGACTAGAGGCCTGAGGTGGTGACGCGTACGACATTTGATCAGCGCCTCCTCTGCTCCAAGTAATTGAGACGAATGCTGGTCATTTCTCAGCAATCAAGAATTCCTTTAAAAAAAGAGTGAGGAATTCGTACAGCATCGCTTTGATAAATCACGAAAAAACATTTCCTGACGATGATTGACATGAACAGTGCGATCGGGGGCTATGTACCAGTCATTGAGTGATGTCTCGAGTGTTCACTCCAAAATTGGCCGTAAACAATGAAATATTTTGCCGTGCATGCCCCGCCACTCATTTTTCTGTCGTTGGATCTTACTTTCGCTAAGTTAATCTTGGGAAGAATATTGTGTTCTTTATCATGCTGGACAAGAGTTATAGCCCAGTATTTCCTTTGGTAATTTGTGAACGAAATTTACTTCTGCAGTTCAAACAAGATTGTTAGAACTGCATAGATTGTATAGATTATAGATTGTTTTCTGTCTGCATAGATTGTCTTCTGCCATAGATTATAAGCCCAAGGGGTAAAATTTGTTTCTTGTTAATACATCTTGTACGGTGCAAGAAGGTTAAGTGATAACATCGCACGCTTTTTTCACGTCTATTTAAAGAGAAGTCACCGAACGGTGCTAGGTAAAGACACGCGATAGTGAATGACAAAGATTTTAATTAGTTCTATTTAATTAGAAGAGACAAACAGTGAATATTTAAACAGATACTAACCATTCTTTTTCTATATCTATGACAATTTAAAACTGATTACGCTCTATTGCTGACGACATATAAGGATTACTGGAACTAAAATAGCAAGAACGCATCATTCCATCATATATCGCGATATTATTTATACCTGGTACACAATTTTGAAATTACCGAGCATTAACATAATACCGTTAGTTATCTAAAATGAAACTCGTGTCAGTGAAAAAATAAACTGGATAACTTATATCTCATACCATATTATCTGAGAAGGAGCTCGAGAGCTGTTGTAACGAGTACCACCCTCGAAAATACTTTATTATCATTTGAATGTTCTTGGATTACGAATGCGATAAAACTCAGTGGGAAAATTATGTTAAATCTTTGGTGTTATCCTCAACGAAACTCTTAGGCGACAGCTCCCGGTCAGAATCTCATTTCTAACTATAAAATATATAACTATATACCTTATATATAATATATTTCTAACTATTTAACTCAAACCTCAGAGTATGAGAAGTGCTGGCCGAGCCGAGTCATTCCGAGACTGCAAGCTGCCCAGAGGCTAACTATCGAACACTCGGGCAAACACTGACTACCGAAGCGGACATGAGCGGCTGATTTACGTGCTACCCGAGTCCTGGGCGGCCCCTTTTTGAGAGCCGAGCAGGCATCTAAATTTTGTTATAGTAGCTTTTTCCTCGGGCACACCATATCATAACGAATTTGTTTGCATTATTACATCATTTCCCAAATAACACGTTGCTCACAAAATGAAAATTCACGAATACGAGACCATGGCGCAAAACATAGCTGTAAATTATCAAATATTTTTACCGCATCAACCCGCATACCGCGTTCGCCGGCCCATGATGCAGTTGTCGAGTTAAGGAAGCTGAAGCGAGAATGCTGTAACTCCCGCTTCATATAATTTTTTTTAAATCCACTGTAAAATGCGCATCGCCCAATGTTCTCAAATATCAACGCAATCTTCATAATATCACCCACATAGTCATGTTTGTACGTGTTTTTAATTATTATGACATATAAATAAAATTAAAAACGTGAAAAAGTTCGAAATACTTTTACGAATATAATGTAAAAGTTCTGAGATATTGCCTACATATTAATGTATTTTAGTATTGACTAAATATAGTATAGTTTGAGTATATAGAATAGTTTATAGTATAGAGTATAGTATTGACTGAATATAGTATAGTATAGTAATTTTTAGTATTGACTGAATATAGTAGCGATTGGGAAAATGCTCGAGGCAAGTGCAATCATCATCAATCAGGTGCAATTTTTTCAGAAATTTTCGAGCATTAATATAATTTCCCTCTTATGTCCAAATTCTCAATCGATGCTTACAGTTCTATGCATAGCTTAGTACATGTATTTTGCTTAATGAGCGTTGAAGTAAATCTATTGTTAGAATTCACGCATCTCAGAAGGAATGCTTTAAATTTGGAATGGTAATTATTCTACATTTGACTTTTTTGAAGGCCCTTGCAAAAATCTAACCAAGTTTGATGGCAGCAGCTAACTTCACAATCTGAAATAATGCTGTGGAATTATAAGTAGGCTGAACCACCGAAAAACTAAGTCATGCTGCACATGTCGGCGTGGTTGATCTCAAGTTTTTTAGCTGCCAGCGCCTGCAAGTTTACCGACACGAACAAGTCGATACTATCCACACGCACGCTCTTCAGGTCAGGACGACATTCGCTGAGCCAAGACCAGCCTCGGTGAGTTATTGTGCCATTCGCAGCGATTTGTTCTTCGTAAGAGGGCACACCTGTAGCATTGCATTCGTTGGACGCGTGGTAGAAGGGAAGGCAGTTACTCGTGGCGTTCATGAAGAACGCGCGGCCTGTGAAAGGGGCCTTCCAGCAGTTGCCAGCGATGCCGCCCATGTAGTTTCCAACCATCAAGCTATCTACGTCGTCGATGTTTATTTCGTCAAAGTATGACACCAGAGTTTCAGAATTTGCGTAATTTACCGCGATTTTGAGCCATAAAAACGTTCCTGGATCTAAATTTAATCCGCTAGTGCTGTAAAATTTTGCTCCATTAAAGTTGTTTCTTTGCCAAATGCCGTCGCATTTAACGGTAATGGCATTCGGATATAGATTTTGCCACAGCACCGTTTCGCAGTTAAGACAACTCGCAGCCCCAACATTGTTCAGCTGAGACAAAGTCGGCAACTCCCAGCAGTATCTGGGGCAAACCTGCAAAATATTCGAGGCATAGAATATTTGTACAAGTTAATTAATTCACCGTCCCCCCACACTGTCAGGAGTTGGAAGAACCTTGGATCAAATTTCTACCCCTCCAAAATCTCTTTCATTGCTTACCTGGTAAGGCACAAAACGAATTCATTTACTTGATTATTTAATGTGAATTTGGTTCATTACTTCTTCTGTGGTTCTAATTAAGAGCAAAAAAAGCAAGGAACCTTTTAGATTGTTCGTAATGGAAATTAAAGACTGGCTTATGACGCTCCGTGTCATTTGTTTCCGATGCAAAAAAAAAAAACTTGAATCAACGTTACGACTTCTGAGCATTGAGATACCATATTCGTATCGCAAATTACCCTGAATTACCCGTAGCAGCGAATTACCCTATTCGTAAATGCGCTCTTTTATTGCCCTCACATGAGTAACTGCACGCAACTCTGTCATTGTGCATAGCACATCAATACTATCTATATGCTGTAAATACTGCCGATATATATGCTATGGAATGCTGATATGTTGTGGATACTGCCAATGTGCAGTAGATACCATCGATATTATGCGGACATTGTCGATTTTCGGTGGATATTATTGATATACAATGGATTATATCAATATATAATGGATATTCTCGACATGCTGTGGATATTATTGGCATGCTGTTATCGAATTAACTATCGAATAGGTGTTATCGAATTAACTGTGGATATAATCGATTTGCTGAATATTACGATTTACGAATAAACTTACGTAATAAACTTTGTATAAGTTATCGATATACTGTGAATATAATCGATATGCAGTGGATATAATCTATATGTTGTGGATTTTAAGCATATGTGGTTGATATTATCGATATGCTGTGGATATTGCGGATTCGTTGTGTATATAATCGATTTGCTGTGGAAAATATGGATAAACTATGGAAGTTATCAATATGCTGTGGATCGATATGTTGTGGATTATAGATATGGATCATAGATATGCTGTGGTTATCATAGATATGCTGTGAATATGATAGATATGCTGTGGATATCATCATCTAAAAGTAGCAGATATAATGGACATTCTAGTAATTCCCCAACAAGCAATTTCATCTCACCTCGCACTGCTCTCCACAGCAGTTGGGGCGGCCACATTCTTCACAAGTGTAATTGTAGGGATTATTGGAGCAGTCCGTGGTGGAGTTGTAAGCCTTAACCCCAGTGCATGAGGCTGCTACGTAACCACTGCTTGGGCGGGAACAGTTCGTCGTGGGGCCGTAGAACTTAGACAAGCAGCGCTGCTGGCACGTCAGCGGCAGGAGAGGATCTTCTCGTTTGCGTAGGTCGTAGGACTGGACACCTGGTAAATGGGGCGATGTGACTTTGCATTTTGAAAAAGATGAGTTCCAATAAACTAGGTTCTTCGTGTTTGAGGATGTTTTCTTCGTTGGAACTTTTGCACCTCTTGTTAACTAAACCTTGTTGATAGCTAAATCCTCGTCTCTAGCTAATTTGCAAACAACTTTAAAACACTTATTTCATTTTTAATAAAAAATGCAAAAAGACTTAATGATATTATTTAGAATAAAAATTACAATCATAAAAACGATGAAGAAATTTTATAAGTTGTCTTGCAAGAAATGAGTTCCTTCAATTATTCATACAAAAAGAAGGATATACCTGGAATGTAAACAAAGTTGGCTTGGCTCTCACATCTGTCGCCTGCTTGCAGGTAACAGAACACTTCGCCGTCCCTCTCTTCTTTAACGAAGCCTCGACACTTGGGATTCAGAATGCAGGAGCTCAGACACAAAAGAATTGAATGACTGGAGACCGGGCCTGAGAAAAAAAAAATTTTTCACGTACGTTTTTATCATTCAAAAGTCATTGATAAAATATAAATGACCTTTGAACCATTCATAACAGCTAACTTTATAAAAATTAAATATTCGTCATTGCCAAATTCACTGCAAGGTTCAGTAAATAGTAAGCATTAATAAAATACTTGACTACCCAAATAAACAAAATACTTTACTTGTGTGTTATTTTATTGTTCTGATTAAATTAAATCTATATCCATTTCCAGAGAAATGGTTTAAATGAGTAGTTTCAGCACAATTTTTTGAACTATTTAAATGGTTTAAAACTAATGAAAGACGAGTGTTTAAAAGTAGAACATTCACTAAAAAATTGCTCTTTACTATAGAGCTCTAACCTAGCAAAATCTGAGGGGAACAGTTATGAAAATTGCACCAAACTGAAAATAACTTTTCAGTTAGCGTCTGCATAAAGACTTGGTGCAGGAATCAAGCATAAAGCTTTGAATATTTCTTACCAAGATGTATTTTTTCTAAAGCATAACTGTAACTCATTGTAGCGAAGTTCCTGTAGGAGTCGTAAGTAACGCCGTAGTACTGCTGCTCGACCACTGCACCGCATACTGCCAGCAATAATATCATACCCGCGACGACGCTCAGTCCTACATAGCGCCACAGAAGCGCTAGATGTGGTCCTTCGAATTGCCATGCCATTTTGCTATCCTTAATTACAGCGGCTTTTGAATTTCTGAAAATTATTGGGTGAGAATTAATCTGTACATTGAAATTATCAACTTTACAATGCGAGATAATTTAGATGCTAATGATTTCGTTATACATACCTAAATTTGAGAGACAGTTTTAAGGTAAGGAATACCGAGAAGAGAAAATTACTCAAAATCAGATTTTAGAATTCAAGTCTAAGACACAGAATGCTAAATGATGAAGGTTAATTGTATTTGTAAAATAATTAAAATGTATACAAGTATATTATATTTAATGTTGCAGCCTGGACTGATGAATAGATGCACTGCTGATGAGAAATAAATTAGGACCTTGGATGTATTTAAGGAAATTAATGATTTTTGGTCAAGGTAAATCCACGGTGCGACGTGTCCTTTGTTCTGCTGACGGTAACTGTGGTTACTTGGTCATAGCCACAAGTAACCTTGACAACGGTTAATTAATCAGCCAACAAAAGGTTTATACGAAATTCTGCATTGAACTACCAATTTTGTACTAGCAAAAAGAAACCTATTACAGTACGAGTAGATTTGAGATTTGAGGAGACGCCCGGTATACCTAACATTTGCATTATTATAATTATATATAAAAAACATATGCTCTGCACTGACTGTACATCACCAACAATTGAATTATAATGAGTCTATATTTCCAACATGCGCATCATAATGAGTGTATATATTACCAACAAATGCATTATGATGATTGTATATTTCCAACATGTGCATCATAGTGAGTGTATATTTCCAACATGCGCATCATAGTGAGTGTATATTTCCAACTTGTGCATCATAATGAGTGTATATATTACCAACAAATGCATTGTGATGAGTGTATATTACCAATTTGTTCATTTTAATGAGTGTACATTACCGACATGTGCATTATTATTTGTTTATATTACAAAAATATGCATTAAAATACTAATACGTTCACTGATAATGAATGTTGATACATTCCAAACGTTGTTAACAAATTAAAATGACTCTCGGTAACCCGATTTTCGATTTCCTAACGCAAACGAAAAATATTGTCTTACATATTGAAAAAAAAACATATACAATAACAAATCTTAAATAGAGCTAATTATCCGGTCTTAATTTCAAACCTGCTTAAAAGAACAGATTTTACCATCCTATGTTAATAAAATTTTACTTTAGTATTATATATATACCGTATACAATACCAACTCTGCCAGTCGATGAAATACGCACTCTACCTTGTGACGGTCCAGTGCAGAGTGCCGTGCGTAACTGACTACATGCATTGGGTTTGCCGATGTTCCTTTCCACAAAATTGTGGTCTGAACAAAGTTTTTCACAGCTTTTGTGGATCAATGATAACTTGGCAACGATGCATGCAGCAGAGAAGCACCTACGATCATTGTACAATATTGTCTGCGTATAACAAACGAGCAATGGAATATGTTGTATTAATTTATTATATAGCAAACATTCAAAATCAAGCATGGATTACTGATCAACAGAAAGTGATCGTGTAATTGCCTCATTTTGTTAAAGCTCAGTTTCAAAACTATAAGATTAGTTATAAGCTCTATAGGCCTTCGAGAGGATAGCTAAAACTGAGATTTATAAAAAAAGTACTTGCTTTCCTAAAGATATTGTTCGTCGATGGATCTAATTTATCCATTTCGTGGATAACCACCAGGAAATGTCGCGTAAGTAATTAACCTGCAGAATGGGCAGTAAATCCAGCAACTCTGTTCAGACGTTGGACAAACGCGATCTTTACGTTCTTGGACATTTCTACCTGATGCAACAAAATCATAATCTGTGCAATTAATGATACGTGAGACGCAAATTGCACCGGACTAGTTGATTTCATTTCTATTTTCGTTGCTGCTGATCGCACCTTTCATTTGCACGGATATATTTTACTATTACATTCCTCGGCTAGATTATTTGATATTGAATCAATTACAGTTAGTAGCATAACAGAGGGCCTATCATCACAATTTGCATAAACGACTTAATGGGTTAACGACCATTTACCCCCGGTCAAAACCAGATCATTTACCTCGATTGATCGAGCACTCAAAATATTTTTTGACCACCGCCGTCCGTAAAGTTTGGAAACTATTCGTTACTAAAAATCCGAGACTTAACCTATAGAGCGAGTGTCTCGATGGAATAAACTTATTTGGTGTATATAATTAATTTTAATTTTTCAATTACTTTCCATATTAGCGATTCTACCGCACTGTTGTGTTTTTATATTTGTGTGTCTGCTAGACCGGTCGTGGCTCCTGTGAGTTCCAAGTGAGTTTTTTTAAAGTGATTTAAATGGTTAAAGCCAGCTTCGACATCTGGGGTAAGTTTAAAATTGGTAAATATGTGAATTGGGGTAAATGGGCAAGAAATCGGGCAGTTTATATTGGCTATAGAATAGTTGAACATTGAAAAGAAAAATATGCTGATCTGAACAATGATGCCTGTAGATGGCTCGGCCTCAAGTCCCCAACCATCGGTTTGCTCGCTCTAGGAGTCTAGGTTAAGTCCCGGATTTTTAGTAACGAATAGTTTCCAAACTTTACTGACGGTGGAGTTAAAAGATATTTTGAGTGTTCGATCAATCGAGGTAAATGATCAGGTTTTGATCGGGGGTGAATGGTCAGATTTTTCGGAGGTACATAACTGTAATTATTGACCTCCTACTTTACCACAGAAGTTATTTAAAATAAATGGGCACCATTGATTCCTTTCTATTAACGTAAGCTCCCAAAATTATTTGTGCTCTGTTGATTTTTCAATTACAGTTTTCTTAAAAATAAAACCTTCGTATTCTTCTGTTTGCTTATCCATGAATTGTAATTCATTCATTATTGCTTTCAATAACATTTGTCAAAAACATTTGTTATTTTGCCTAGGTGCAAAATTAGTAAACCAAGCAGCTTTAATATTACTCATTCAAAATACTCTATTAAATAGATTCGTAAAACCAAGAAGAGCTCATGTGTGCTAAATGATTGATCAAAAACTCATAATCAATGTCGATTGATCAATGTATGATCATCAATTAACAATTGGTTGAGCTTTCCGCCACATTTCGCGGTGGGCAATCAAAAATTTTGCCGTCCGGTATGACTGCTGATGACCAATAATTTAGCTCCATGTAAAGTTACCTGCTGCCACAACTTTGCCAAGAAATCAAAGCATAAGTGCGTGAAAATTGCAGAGCCCTGGTTTAGTTTTTAACTTGGTTTTTTTAGGTATATGTAGTTGACTAAATCGCGCTTGATATTATATTTATTACAAAATATAACATGATATGAGGCAGCATCAAAGTGCAAGGCTTTAATATTAATAATTTGATCTGTTTTTCCTTTTTCAATTTTCAGTGGACAGGAAGCACGCATCAAAGAATATCTTATGTCAACAGATTCTAGTTAAAGGATTTTGACCCAATCCACACACCGACGATTATCGTTGAATGAATAACAGCAATAATTAATTTATTAATTCATTTGTAATTTCGTCGAATTTTTGTAGCATATTTATTGTTTGTATTTTGCTGCTGACGTACTGATTGAGCGGCATGCTTTCATCTCCTCATGCATGTCTATAAATAAATTGTATTATTCTGTCCATTAGACGCTACACCTTGCTCGGTTTACATACTGGAAGTGATGTACGTCAGTGAAGTACGTGCGTACAAAACGTTTTAATTAATGTTTAAATAGTGTTTAATTAATTTTCAATGTTTAATTGATGATTTAGGCCTAGTTAATGTTTAATTATTGTGATGTACCTAATTCATGTTTAATGTTCAATTAATATTGAATGCTTAATTCATGTTTAATGTAAAAATTAAGGTTTACTTAATGTTCCTTAATGTTCACCTTCATGGGAGATAGCGTGTCGAAGCCGGACACCCGCATTATCGAAGTTTTGGACGCAAAAGCTAGTGACCGAATAAGTCGTATCATAAAACGTCCACTACAAACAGCCCTGACTACATTTATGAATTAGGACCATATTATAACTTTTTATTCACCGAAAAGTCCTGCAGAAATAAAACCTAGTATGTTCTGCACTACTGGATGAAAATGGTGGTTCGTTGACACTAGGTACCTAAGCAACGATGTCTGGGGCTCTGCAATGTTATAGGCATATGAGAAATTTTACATTTTCACTTTTGGTTTCATCATGGCAACGGAAGAAACTTTCTGTTAACTATATACATCATATAATAAAACAAATAAAAAACTTTTAAAATCACGTTTTCTTAACGGACAAAAAAAAAGAAAAACATTAACTATTACATAACATTGAAGTTATGTAGAATGTTATGTAATGTTATGTAAGAGTTAAAGTTTTTCTTTTTTGTCCTTTAAGAAAACGTGGTTTTTAAAAGTTTGTTTATTTGTTTTATTTCATTGTTTTTAGTTTTGAGACCAACCGAAAAACGTGGTTTTTAAAAAATGTTTTTATATTTATTTTCTACTTTTTAGTTTAGCAATTTTAGCAATTCAAATCATTTTCCAGGGTTGGAAACTCTGTATGTTCGAGAAAAAAAAACGATTCCCGACCGTGAATTTTTACAGTTTTTTTTAATTTTTTAATTTTGTTTAACTTATTACTTCTGATGATCAAATCTTGAATTGTTAGGCAGCATAAGCATGCATGCCAAATTAAAAGTTTCTAGGATCTTCAGAAGTGCTCTAAATTAAGGTTTGATTTTTTGATGACAGACGAACACGAAACGAAAATAAGAAAAACGTGTTAATAACAATATAACTCACTCGGAGTTGGCTTGATCACTCAAACAAGACTTAACATATTCTCCCCTGACCTAACCGAGCAGCGCCTTCTCTTGGATACTCAATACCGCGTTCAGAAATTGAACAATATGAAATTGTTCGTAATTTCGTCAAGTGTGAATTAATTTTATTGGAACCATCATGGAAATTTGAATGAAATTACGTAACTACGAGTATAAAAAATTTCTTTTTAAATAATGTGATATATTGTTTCTTGTTAGTGTTATAGTTCAAGGTTGCA